CACTCAACTATTAAAGAATGAAACTGTTACAGTATTCTTTGGATCTTAGTCCTTCCTCTTCTTCTTCTTCCTCTTCTTCTTCCTCTTCTTCTTACTCTTCTTCTTCCTCTTCTTCTTCTTCTTCTCCTCCTTCTTCTTCTTTTTCTTCTTCTTAAGATCTGCTTCAAATCATCCATTCTATCTCTAAACCTCAAATTTCTCAAACCTACACTTTGTCTCTTCAAAAAAAACTGCAATCTATTTGTTCATTGAGGCAAAGAAAGCTGTTGTTCATCAAACTCTTTTCTTTTTAACTCAAAAAAATCCCCAATTCAAAAGCTTTTCAAAAAAAACCCATTGTTTAAAACTCAGAAGATAGCTCTTGGTTTTTGAGTCTTTTTTCCCAGAAAGGTCACCAGCATTAGTTAATCAATTTTACATAACTATACAAGATTTCGGATGACCAAAACGAAATCACGGAAGTGAGAAAAAGCTTAAGGTCAATTTGTCTGTGTAGTTGTTTTTTATCCCGGTAATTTGTCGCTCTAAAATCGACCAATTTCTAAGCGGGGCTCATCTTCGAGGAGAGGATTTCCCTGTGTGAAGTTTCATCTATTTTTTTTTTCATTTCTCATAGTCATGCCCCAAAAAGGGGAGGGGAAAAGGGATAGATCTTGGGGGAGAAGGGAGATGGGCGGAGCAAGGGGCGGCCCTTTCCCCAGCATAAAATGCGATAGCCAGAGCCGTTCCACTGTCCGATACTCAACACATTCTCAAAGCTCCGAGCCTCACCTCAATAATTATGTTGAACTTGCATCTGAATCTGATCTTCGTCTCATTTTCTCTTTATTTCGTCATTCGACAAACGAGTGCTACGATATTTGAAGAAACGCCGCTAGAAGAATTGGATCGGTTAATCGAGAAACAACTCGCCGATGAAAGCGCCGATAACTCTGAGTTTCAATTCTCTCGATATCGACGAACCCTGCCCGAAAAAACTGGCCGACGATATTGCGGTCGAGCTCTTATTCTTAAATTGAATGAAGTGAGTTTTTTTTAAAAGTCGAGCTATTTTCTTTTCCTTTCCTCAACTCATTTTTTAATTTCAGGTTTGCAACGGTTGCACTCGTCCAATTCCGAAGCCGTCCAAAATCGACAGCTACGAGGGATATGATTTGAGAAAAAAACGAGACGTTCATGAGCATCATCATGGTAAGAGTTTTGAGATCTTATTCCTTTTCTTTGAACTAAGACGTTTGCAAAAAATTCTTTCGCAGAATTGAGGATAAAGCTAGATTCAGAAAAAGCTAATTTCAAAAAAAATAAGCTTAAAATGGCTACCCTTGAAAGCAATGAGCAATTTTTCTATTTTCAGCGCACTCACGACGAACAAAACGAGGCGGTCTCGCCGAGGAATGCTGTCTGAAGACATGCACAATTGATACTATCAAGGCGCATTGTGCTCCATGCTAATCCATCAATCATCTCGATTTCTCCAATCCTCAATCCTCAATCCCTTTTTTGTTTGGTCAAAACAAAAACTCAATAATTAAAATTCTTAAAAATGAAACTGTGCTGTTTTCGCCTAATTAACGGGTAGCCTCCACTGTGGGACATTTCTTTTTCGACAGTTGTAAGTCTTAAAAAATCTACAACGCCTACGAAACTTTACGATTGCTATCGATTTCATCCTGGGTCTCTAGGTACAATTATTATCCGGCTAGGAATCGTTATTTCATTTCCCACAACTCTCTAAACATATCGGTTTAACCAATTTTTGACTTTTTTATCTACTTTTCTACTTTTTTTTGTGCTTTCAATCGCATTTTCCCGAAACTTTGATTCTCAACAAATCGCGCTTGATCTCCTCCATTGTCAACTATGATATTTGTAGATACTGTGTATAGGTTAGACGCTAGGATTTCCTTCAAATAGCCGTAGCATTTTCCCCCCATTTCCCCCCTTTTTTCAGTGTAAATAGTTTCTCATACGGTAGCTCTTTTTCTAAAAAATAAAAAAAATAAAAAAATGATGTGCCATAAAAAGTCAATTTGTATTCTTGCTCTGTTTGTAATTGTTTTTTTTTGCATTGTTGATTATTCGGTATTTGTTGTTGAAAGAATTTACAAAACCCCGGTGAATGTTCATTCGTGTTTGCCCATACGTGTTTCCTTTGTTTTTTTTTGCGTTCTTTGCGACTTTTTCTCCCCCTTCACGATTCTTTGATATTTTTGAGGGTTTTAGAAATAAAACATTTCATTACATTACTTTGGAATTCATTAGCAGTGATAGGCAGTGTCGTGACGATCTCGTGATCGAGATCGCCACGTATGGAAATGGCCAGCTAGGCACCTACAGTGGCGGACAATGAAATAGAACCGATGCTCCATTTGCACAAAGACCACGAATTTTCCATTATTTTCACACCCATTCAAAAAGACATCAACAGCTATTTTTTTTTTGATGTTATCTTAGCTTTCGATTGGCACAGCTCTTAGCTGAAAGTTCTTTCTCTGTAACTTGGTAGTTTAGGTTTTCTTCAGCCTACCCCATTATAGCGGCGACAATTAAATAGAACCTGTTGGATGCCTCGCAAGAAGTGTCACTGTGCGAACTGTTCAAAGAATTCTTAATCGCGATGGGTTGATGGGTCGAGTAGCAAGAAAGAAGCCCTTTATCTCCAAGAAAAACCAAAAGGAACGTCTAAAATTTGCCCGAGAACATTTGTCGTGGGACTGACGATGATTGGAGCAAGGTTTGTCATTTGTATTATGTCAAAAAAGTTTTGTTTTTGAAATCCAGGTACTATGGACAGATGAATCAAAGTTTAATTCGATGGGTTCCGATGGAAAAATGTATGTTCGACGTCGGGCGAGGCTTTTAGTCCAAAATGCACCAAGGTTGAAGCATGACCCAACATCAGTCATGATCTGGAGTTGTATGACTGCTGAAGGTACCGGGCCTGTATATCGTGTTCAAGGCATTATGGATCAACATCAGTACGTGGATGAAATTTTAGACAATGTGGTTGAGCCATATTCAAACACTCTTCCTAAAAACTGGATTTTCCAGTTGGGAATTAAGAACGTCTTTTGCTGACATCAACCGTCTAGGCTGACAACGATCCCAAACACATATCCAAGAAAGCAAAAACGTTCCTCACCAATCAGGGATGGAAGATCTTGAAATGGCCGCCACAAAGCCCTGATTTATCGCCAATTGAAATGCTTTGGATTGATGTAAATAGAGAAATAAGGGCCCAGAAACCAAAAGGAAAAGAAGTCCTATTCAAAGTTATCGAAACGGCTTGGAGCAAGATACCAGCTGATCGTTGCAAGAAGTTAGTTAAATCAATGAAGCGTAGACTCTTGGAAGTCATCAAAAACAAAGGTTTTGCCACTTCATATTAATTTTTACGATCGGTTCTATTTAAATGTCGTCATTTTTCAAACACACCTTTGTTAATTGTTGAGTTATTAAATAAATACTAAATTATGTTTGGTCAAAAGTGGTGCCAAACGAAAGCTAAGATAACATAAAAAAAAATAGCTGTTGATGTCTTTTTGCATGGGTGTGAAAATAATGGACAATTCGTGGTCTTTGTGCAAATGGAGCATCGGTTCTATTTAATTGTCCGCCACTGTATGTGGACGAACGCCTATTGTGCGAGAGTTAATATGCGTCGCTATCCGTTCAACTCCATTGTGTGCAAGACGAGACCAACGCCTGAGTTCCGTATAAAAGCAATGTGAACGACGAGCTGCCGAGCTGCTGTGAACGAGCTGCCGAGCTGCTGTGAACGAGCTGCCGACGTGTGCCGTGGAGTGTCTCTACTCTCCCAATCTCAAACCACTGAACCAACTATTATCGCTGTAATAAAGATTATATCTAAACCAACAACAATCATTACAGGCAGGGAATGCCAACCCTGCCTGTTGGCCAAATGACAGAAGCCATATACTATTCGACGCAGCATTTCACACTGATTCCTAATCTGCTTCTCTTTTTTGTTAAAGAGTTGAGAGTAAAGTGATGCTTTGTGATGTCACTGATGCTCAGGCTCAGGCTCAGGCTTCCATTCAAACAGCCCGAGTTCGATCCGAGATCAGCTTTTGACAATAGCGAGATAAATAAACTCTTGATAAACTTTATAAACTTTAACTTGATAACTTTAAAAACCTATAGTGAGATAAATAATTTTATTTATAAAAAGGGTAAAATTCGAACGTAAGACGAGAGAAAGGTCACCAGCATTAGTTAATCAATTTTACATAACTATACAACATTTCGGATGACCAAAACGAAATAACGGAAGTGAGAAAACGCTTGAGGTCAGTTTGTCTGTGTAGTTGTTTTTTATCCCGGTAATCTGTCCCTCTAAAATCGAAACATTTCTAAGCGGGGCTCATCTTCGAGGAAAGGATTTCCCTGTGTGAAGTTTCATCTATTTTTTTTTTAATTCTCATAGTCATGCCCCAAAAAGGGGAGGGGAAAAGGATCTTTGGGGAGATGGGAGATGGGCGGAGCAAGGGGCGGCCCTTTCCCCAGCATAAAATGCGATAGCCAGAGCCGTTCCGCTGTCCGATACTCAACACATTCTCAAAGCTCCGAGCCTCACCTCAATAATTATGCTGAACTTGCATCTGAATCTGATCTTCGTCTCATTTTCTCTTTATTTCGTCATTCGACAAACGAGTGCTACGATATTTGAAGAAACGCCGCTAGAAGAATTGGATCGGTTAATCAAGAAACAACTCGCCGATGAAAGCGCCGATAACTCTGAGTTTCAATTCTCTCGATATCGACGAACCCTTGAGCAACCCGTGAAATTTCGACTTTGCGGTCAAGCTCTTATTCTTAAATTGACTGAAGTGAGTTTTTTTTAAAACTCGAGCGATTTTCTTTTCCTTTTCTCAACTCTCAACTCATTTTTTAATTTCAGGTTTGCAACGGTTGCACTGGTCCGATTCCGAAGAACAAAATCGACAGCGACATAGAGATTGATTTCAGAAAAAAACGAGATGTTCATGAGCATCATCATGGTAAGAGTTTTGAGATCTTATTCCTTTTCTTTGACCTAAGACGTTCGCAAAAAATTCTTTTGCAGAATTGAGGATAAAGCTAGATTCAAAAAAAAAAGCTTAAAATGGCTACCCTTGAAAGCAGTGAGCAATTTTTCTATTTTCAGATCACTCACGACGAACAAAACGAGTCGGTCTTGCCGATCAATGCTGTTTCAGGAAGGAATGCACAATGGATATTATCAAGAAGCATTGTGCTCCATGCTAATCCATCAATCATCTCGATTTCTCCAATCCTCAATCCTCAATCCCTTTTTTTTTGTTTGGTCAAAACAAAAACTCAATACTTAAAATTCTTAAAAATGAAACCGTGCTGTTTTCGCCTATTTAACGGGTAGCCTCCACTGTGGAACATTTCTTTTTCGACAATTGTAAGTCTTAAAAAATCTACAACGCCTACGAAACTTTACGATTGCTATCGATTTCATCCTGGGTCTCTAGGTACAATTATTATCCGGCTAGGAATCGTTATTTCATTTCCCACAACTCTCTAAACATATCGGTTTAACCAATTTTTGACTTTTTTATCTACTTTTCTACTTTTTTTGTGCTTTCGATCGCATTTTCCCGAAATTTTGATTCTCAACAAATCGCGCTTGATCTCCTCCATTGTCAACTATGATATTTGTAGATACTGTGTATAGGTTAGACGCTAGGATTTCCTTCAAATAGCCGTAGCATTTTCCCCCCATTTCCCCCCTTTTTTCAGTGTAAATAGTTTCTCATACGGTAGCTCTTTTTCTAAAAAATAAAAAAAATAAAAAAATGATGTGCCATAAAAAGTCAATTTGTATTCTTGCTCTGTTTGTGATTGTTTTTTTTTGCATTGTTGATTATTCGGTATTTGTTGTTGAAAGAATTTACAAAACCCCGGTGAATGTTCATTCGTGTTTGCCCATACGTGTTTCTTTTGTTTTTTTTGAGTTCTTTGCGACTTTTTTTTCCCCTCTTCACGATTCTTTGATATTTTTGAGGGTTTTAGAAATAAAACTTTTCATTATATTACTTTGGAATACATTAGCAGTGGCAGTGTCGTGACGATCTCGTGATCGAGATCGCCACTTATGGAGATGGCCAGCTAGGCACCTATGTGGACGAACGCCTATTGTGCGAGATTTAATATGCGTCGCTATCCGTTCAACTCCATTGCGTGCAAGACGAGACCAACGCCTGAGTTCCGTATAAAAGCAATGTGAACGACGAGCTGCCGAGCTGCTGTGAACGAGCTGCCGACGTGTGCCGTGGAGTGTCTCTACTCTCCCAATCTCAAACCACTGAACCAACTATTATCGCTGTAATAAAGATTATATCTAAACCAACAATAATCATTACAGGCAGGGAATGCCAACCCTGCCTGTTGGCCAAATGACAGAAGCCATATACTATTCGACGCAGAATTTCACGCTGACTCCTAATCTGCTTCTCGTTTTTGTTAAAGAGTTGAGAGTAAAGTGATGCTCTGTGATGTCACTGATACTCAGGCTCAGGCTTCCATTCAAACAGCCCGAGTTCGATCCGAGGTCAGCTTTTGACAATAGCGAGATAAATAAACTCTTGATAAACTTTATAACTTGATAACTTTATAACTTTATAAACCTATAGTGAGATAAATAATTTTATTTATAAAAAGGATAAAATTCCAACGTAAGATGAGAGAAAGGTCACCAGCATTAGTTAATCAATTTTACATAACTACAGGGTGCGGCAAAAGTTTGGAGGCGCTTCTTAAGATAGTTAAAGGTTTGAAAACTAGCTTTGAAAAGTTAAAAATTAATAACAAATTCTTTATTCGAATCATAACAACAAATAACTTATAACAAATGCTCGAAATTTCCACTATTCGCTTCGATACACCTCTTTAAACGCTTTGGGAAGTTCCTCACGATGGTGGCGCACGCTTAAACGGTTATTTTATCCCAGACTCGTTTCAGAGCAGATTTTAAAGCATCCACTTTTTGGTACGTCTTCATCGAGATCTTGTCTTCCAAAATAGCCCAAACGGAGTTATCGAGGGGATTAAGATCTGGCGAATTTGAAGGCCAAATGGTCTTATCCCAAAAGCCTGGAAACAACTGAGCGCAAACGTTGAGAGTTGAGTGAGCACCATGCGCCGGAGCCCAGTCCTGTTGCAGGGAAAAACCAGCTTGTCCAAAGTGATTTGTTGCCCAATGTTTCAAGACATCTTTTAATACCAGTTGTTGGCAGTTTTAGCATTAATCTTGATGTTTCTGTCCAAAAAAACAGGCGGTGTCGTGCTTGTAGCACACATACCTCCACACACCATAATCGAAGCTGAAAAATGCTTTCTAACCATCAAATTTGCCGCAAATGTGTTCTTCAGAACCCTTTTGAGAAGTTCTCTAAGATTTTGGCGGTTGTGCAATGACTGGATAGAAAAAATCTTTTCATCTGTGAAGAGGATCCTCTCAAGTAGGCCAGCCGCCACCGAGGGCACCATCTTCTTTGCTAGACGCTTTCGTTTCTTCTGGGATTTGTCGCTCAAGACGTGTGCTTTGGCCAATTTGTAGCTAAAGAATCTTAGTTTCCCTTTAACAATCCTTCCGACGCTTCGAGGGCTAATTTTCAGCTGTTTGCCCATCTTTCGCATCGACCGCAGCTTGTTTTGGCGGATCCGAAAGCGGATTTCGTTGATGTTCGTAGGTGTTACGGCAGTTGGTGGTCGACCACTTCGAGGGGGATCCTTGTTGTTCTTTATCTCCCTGTAGCGTTTAATTGCTTTGTTGACGGTGCTTTTTGGATATTTTGTGATTTTTACAAGCTCCGGGCTATTTTTTCCGCCTTGGTATAATCCGAGAATCACATCGCGTCCCTCTAAAATCGAAACATTTCTAGGCGGGGCTCATCTTCGGGAAGAGGATTTCCCTGTGTGAAGTTTCATCTATTTTTTTTTTCATTTCTCATAGCCATGCCCAAGGGGAGGGGAAAAGGGATAGATCTTTGGGGAAAAGGGAGATGGGCGGAGCAAGGGGCGGCCCTTTCCCCAGCATAAAATGCGATAGCCAGAGCCGTTCCGCTGTCCGATACTCAACACATTCTCAAAGCTCCGAGCTTCACCTCAATAATTATGCTGAACTTGCATCTGAATCTGATCTTCGTCTCATTTTCTCTTTATTTCATCATTCGACAAACGAGTGCTACGATATTTGAGGAAACGCCGCTAGAAGAATTGGATCGGTTAATCGAGAAACAAGTCGCCGATGAAAGCGCCGATAACTCTGAGTTTCAATTCTCTCGATATCGACGAACCCTGCCCGAAAAAACTGGCCGACGATATTGCGGTCGAGCTCTTATTCTTAAATTGATTGAAGTGAGTTTTTTTAAAAGTCGAGCGATTTTCTTTTCCTTTTCTCAACTCTCAACTCATTTTTAAAATTTTAGGTTTGCAACGGTTGCACTGGTCCAATTTCGACAAACAATAACGACAACGACAACGAGAACGACACGGGCATGACTTTGAGAAAAAAACGAGACGTTCATGAGCATCATCATGGTAAGAGTTTTGAGATCTTATTCCTTTTCTTTGACGTTTGCAAATTCTTTCGCAGAATTGATGATAAAGCTAGATTCAGAAAAAGCTAGATTTTAAGAAAAGCTTAGAAGCCTTAAAGTTTGGTTAGCCTTGAGCAATGAGCTATTTTTCTATTTTCAGAGCACTCACGACGAACAAAACGAGCCGGTCTCGCCGAGAAATGCTGTCTGAAGACATGCACAATTGATACTTTCAAGGCGCATTGTGCTCCATGCTAATCCATCAATCATCTCGATTTCTCCAATCCTCAATCCTCAATCCTTTTTTTTTGTTTGGTCAAAACAAAAACTCAATAATTAAAATTCTTAAAAAAATGAAACTGTGCTGTTTTCGTCTAATTAACGGGTAGCCTCCACTGTGGGACATTTCTTTTTCGACAATTGTAAGTCTTAAAAAAATCTACAACGCCTACGAAACTTTACGATTGCTATCGATTTCATCCTGGGTCTCTAGGTACAATTATTATCCGGCTAGGAATCGTTATTTCATTTCCCACAACTCTCTAAACATATCGGTTTAACCAAGAAAAGAAAGAAAAAGAAAAAGGGGTAAATTTTTGACTTTTTTTCTGCTTTTCTGCTTTTTTTTGTGCTTTCAATCGCATTTTCCCGAAATTTTGATTCTCAACAAATCGCGCTTGATCTCCTCCATTGTCAACTATGATATTTGTAGATACTGTGTATAGGTTAGACGCTAGGATTTCCTTCAAATAGCCGTAGCATTTTCCCCCCTTTTCCCCCCTTTTTTCAGTGTAAATAGTTTCTCATACGGTAGCTCTTTTTCTAAAAAATAAAAAAAATAAAAAAATGATCTGCCATAAAAAGTCAATTTGTATTCTTGCTCTGTTTGTGATTGTTTTTTTTTGCATTGTTGATTATTCGGTATTTGTTGTTGAAAGAATTTACAAAACCCCGGTGAATGTTCATTCGTGTTTGCCCATACGTGTTTCCCTTGTTTTTTCCCTCTTCACGATTCTTTGATATTTTTGAGGGTTTTAGAAATAAAACTTTTCATTATATTACTTTGCAAATACATTAGCAGTGATAGGCAGGGAATGCCACCCGGGTTTGTTGGCCAAATGACAGAAGCCATATACTATTCGACGCAGAGCTTTACGCTGATACCTAATCTGCTTCTCGTTTTTGTTAAAGAGTTGAGAGTAAAGTGATGCTTTGTGATATTACTGATGCTTTGTGGCTCATTGGTAGAGTGTTTAGTCGTTCTTTAGTCGTTCAACTTGAATCGAACGACTAATGTTCGATATTGGATTGCGTTTCACTTGTTTGCTTTTTCGTCTAGGCAAGAATGGTTGACTTGAGGCGTTAACAAGTTGAGTAACTGAACCAGTTTCCTAAGCAAGTACATGAGATTGATAAGATTCTAAAGAGAAAGCCAGCGAACCAGGCATTGGCTGGCTGGCTCAGGCTCAGGCTCAGGCTTCCATTCAAACAGCCCGAGTTCGATCCGAGGTCAGCTTTTGACAATAGCGAGATAAATAAACTCTTGATAAACTTTATAAACTTTATAACTTTATAACTTGATAACTTTATAAACCTATAGTGAGATAAATAATTTTATTTATAAAAAGGATAAAATTCGAACGTAAGACGAGCATAAACTTCAACTTTCCCACTCCAATTCATCCAATTCAATGTCATCTAATGTCATAAGTTATCACAGTATACCCTTAAATTCAAAGCATTTTTTGTCCTACCAATTATTTCTTTTCTTTTCTTTTTTTTCTTTTTCTTTTCTCATATCAATTATTCTGTTTGGGTGAAGTTGAGTAGAAAAAAAAGAGATTTCCGAGAACATACGGTAAGATTTGTAGGGTGTAGACGAAGATTCTTGAGGAAAGAATCCCCAGGGAATCCTGAAAAACCCAAAACAAACTCCCAGTCTCCCCAAATGAAGTGTGAGCTAAAAATGGGAATTTTCGCCGATGAAATCATCACCTTTGATTTTCGGTGATTTTCCCCACAGCAATGGGCTTTTTTAGCCATGGGCTTTTTTAGCCATGGGTTTTTTTAGCGAATGGGTTTTTTTTGGGTACTCTGAGGGGAATTCTGAAGAAATGAGTGAGACATTTGAACTCATTTGTACTACGGCGGTAATTGCTGAGATTGCTGAGATTTGAGGTTGGAGAAGGACCGAAATGGTCTTCGATGAGAGAAATTCTTCATTCAGAGACCCAACAATTCGGTTAGGGGTTTGCAAAATAAAAGTTCAGTAAAGAAAGCGACTAATCGATTATTTGAAATTTGATTTCAAAGATAATTTATGCTTTTTACAATGATCAGTCATTGATATTGGGTTGGTGAATTGAAAACTGCTGGCTATTGTCATATGTGAGAGTTTGAGCACTTTCTTCAAAAGAAACCCATTTTGGTGTGAATGAAAAAGTTGTAGAGAATCAAAAATCAAGCTTATATCCAAATTTTCAGAACGATTCAAAAACTGGTTTTCAAGAAATGCCAAATTTACGAATTTTCACAAAACTTGCATTTTAAGCGAAACTACCAAGTGTATCTTTTTGGAAATTTGGATATAAGCTTGATTTTTGATTCTCTACAACTTTTTCATTCACACCAAAATGGGTTTCTTTTGAAGAAAGTGCTCAAACTGGTTCTCCATTTTTGTCTCCAGTCCTCCAGTCCTCCATTTTTGAGTCTCACACTTGTCTCACACACAAACCAAAATCCTACTACGAAAGAGGAATCCGCAAATTGCCTGTAAAATGGGCAGAAGGCGTCAATAATAATGAAAATTATTTGAAATGAATTGATGGTTTTATGCTGAATAAATTTTAGTTCAAAGTCCCGCAGTTTTCAATTCACCAACCTAATATAAATCAGTTATTTTTTGAGAAGTACTACAGTTTTTCATCGTTTTTTCTTAAACTCACTTCATCAGGGATGAGAATCTTCCCCTTTTGCAACAAGACTTAGTTCAAAGTCCCGCAGTTTTCAATTCACCAACCCAATAGTATTACTTTAAACATCGCTTTATAACAGCATCAAATATAACTTTATAACTTTCATTCATTAATTATCAATTCTTTCAAAGTCTCATTCATTCAGAACATTAATCTAAAAAGAAAATGAAATAATCTTTAATGAAAATGAAATAATCTTTGAACGATGAAAAGAATTCTCTCCACCCGTGAAACCCCTGCTCCGTTCAAACTCAAAAGCAAAAACGCCTACATTTTGGGATTAATTTTTTTTGTGTAATTTTTGTGTAATCTTTGCATAATAGATTAATGTGTTAATAGAAAAATAGATCTAAAAAGTCCACTTAAAAAAATTCCCCCAACGCTCAACTATGGTTTTGACACCAAAAAAAAAAACTAATCCAGACCAAAACTTCGGCATACTTTTTTGTTTGTGAATTTCTGTTTTTTGAACTTTTAATCCACAAGGAGAATTGGTGGGAAAAGTTTGGAAAGGAGAAAACTTTTGCGGAAAAAACTTTCTCTAGCCGACTAGGCGACTCGAATTTCAGTAGGAATCATACAAATTTTCACTCGCTTATCCGAAGAATAAATATTCTCTCAGTGGAAAAATGGAGTGACGTTTCTTTTTTTTTTTTTGCCTTGAAAAGGCAAAGTGAAAAGGTAAAGCTGTGCAAAAATATGCGTCATCTTTGAATTGATTAATGTTTATTCTGAATTGATATCAATTTTTAACTTTTGAATATCAAAAAATCGAAGAAATGTGTTGGGAAAGGACAAATAAAAATCGAGAGGAGTTACTATTGAGTAAAATTCAAAGTCTTGATTGAATGATTGTTGAAAAAACTAATCTAATCTAGTTTAGCCTAATTGTAAGCATCGGAAAGCATTGTAAGCTCTACTGCAAGCGATTTTCATTGAAGAAATCTGATTTATCCTTTAACAAACTTTACCTAGAAGTAGAGCTTAACTCCAATAACGAGAGCTCAACAACTATCGAGTAAAATTCAAAGCCTTGATTGAATGATTGTTTAAAAAACTAATCTAATCTAGCTTAGTCTAATTGTAAGCATCTACTGCAAGCGATTTTCATTGAAGAAATCTGATTTTTCCTTTAACAAACTTTATCTAGAAGTGGAGCTTAACTAAAATTCCAATAACGAGAGCTCAGCAAAGCAAAACTTATCTATAATTAGCTAAAGCTGTTAACTAAAACTGTTTTGATAGTATTTTATCTTTCAACTTTGTTTTCTGGTGTAGAAACTTTTTCTAGAAAACTTTTCTAGTATGCTCAATTGTAGGATGAGAGAATTGAGTGCAAAAGAAAAGATATGCTTCGACTCTAGAGCACAGAGAACACTCTAAAGAACTTGTCTATTCCCGTAAGCTGAAATCCTACAATACACTCTAAACAACTTGTCCACTCCCGTAAGCTGAAATCCTACAATACTCTCTAAACAACTTGTCTACTCCCTTCATTTCTACAAAAGCTAAAGGCACATCAATTTAATCAGGATTTTGTTTTTGCTTGTTATGCAAGAAATGAGTTCTTCATTTGTTAGTTGTTGAATGAATTTCCAACTTTTCCAATCAACAAGTCCAATCAAAAAGAACGGCTGATTGAATAAAATCAAAGTGAACACTTTCATTCAACTTTTAATCAAAAGAAGATTTCAATCAAATGAATTTAATCCGGATTACTGTAGTTCCATTTATTTTTTTTTTTTTAGAAACCTAAATTGAGCTCAGAAATCGAGTGACCGGAAGAGCGGAAAAACGATAAAAAAATTATTATCTAAATTTCGGATTAAATCGAAAATCTGTGTGTTTCGAAAGATATTTCGTGAATTAGAAATCATTTTGAACGCTGGATTTTGCACGATTCTGACTGTTTTTCATTCCGGAAAAAGCTTGCGAAAATTTTGAACTTTTTTCGCGGAAAGCTCTTTGAAGTTTCTACTCACACTAATCCAAAATAAATTGGGCACAGAGAAATTTTAAGAATGAGAGAATGTGAAGTTTTCTGATAACAACATCTTCTTTTATGACTTTACTTGTACACAGCCTATGCCAGGAATGTTCCAAAACGAAAGAAATCAAACCAGAAGTGAGACAGCGAGTCTAACAGACCCTTTTCAGAGAGTCAAGTCAAGCCAACAGATCCAGGCGTTGACAAAGAACTGATTTTCCAGAGCAAACCAAGTCAAACATTCTAAAGCTTGTCCTAGATAACAGCCTCTTCTTTTATAACTTTACTTGTAC